AATACAGCCTGAACATCAAACAGTAGCAAAACCGGACCAACAAAGCTACCTACCATTAGCGTAAAACGGATTAAAAAAATAGACGACGGGCCCCCAATTTTTTTTTGCCATGACCTGCAGACTAAACACCACAACCCAAAAACAAACTACAGCTAAGACGAGGTGTGTTTATCAGTAAAGTCAGTGGAAAAAGTGTGAGTACACGTGAGTGCAATGTTGAAGGTTGATGTTGAAAACAACCAGCACAGAAGAAGAAAGAGGGACTTGGACGCATTAGGGTGGGGTTTTTATAGCTGGAAAACACCGGCCATGACTCCGCCCCCTCAGGTACCTGCTGCATTAAAGGAACAGGAAACAATGAGGGGGGCCGCCACAACGCGACAAACAACGTAACAGAGAGTGACGTGACAGTGGGGGGTGTAAAAACAGGTCAGTGGACAGTGTGTGTTTGGTCTCAAAGATTAGCTGTGTGTGTGTGTGCGTGTGTGCAGGGACAGATGTCCAGGGTCCCAGGCCATAAGTGTGTGTGTGTTGCTGTCTGTTCGTGTGTGTGAAGTGATGTGCAGCCAATCAACTCAATATCCTTCCCGTCAGTGATTTCTAAGGCTGACAAGCGAGTTTGACTGTCGACATGATTTCACTTCATGTTTCAGACTCGAAGCAAAACGCAGAAAAAAAGTCAAAATCTTTTCATCTTGCTGGAAAACAAACAAAACAATAATAAACAGCTGCTGTTAATACATTTGTAGAGACAATAAAACAATCTTTCCTTTCCTCATTTTTTCCACCTGCTCACTTACGAATGAACAGGCAGGTCACAGGGATTGAGATATACCAATGTGAGCAGCACCAGCAGTCCTACAGGTCTAAACACATTGTTAATACAATAAAATACACAGACAATACTCTACTAGCTAAATGATTTCAAGGTTTTCTGAAAAAGTTTTATTAAATAAGCTCCTTGTTTTCATGCATTAATACAGTCTGAGTAGCATTTTATTACAGTACAGTAGTGGAATAATATGGTAAAAAACACTTTCCCAATTTAAATTAATAATATCTGGCATTTTAAACAACTTCTTTCTGAATAAAACCATCAACAATTTAAATTCTTAAAGCGACACTATGTAAGATATGTGGTGCCTCAAGTTGCAACACCGCTCTTGTAAATATGGACAGCTGTACAAAAACATCAGGCAAGTGCAACAACACAAGACATAGCAAGACCAGCTAATATTCCTCACTAGTCCAGCAGACAGGAGCTCGCCGTCTGTCTGCAGCCTTTTATTTCACAAAGCTCTTGAGAGATTTACTCGACTGGTAGCTTCACTTCGCTCTTAGGTCTCTTTCGACTCTGCCATTAGTCCATAAAAGCTGCTGAACCTGGTCACATTGATACAATTGCAGCGCGGCATCTCTGTTAATAATGTTGTTATTATAAGGTAGAAAAGTTACATAATGTTGCTTTAATATCACCCTGAAATCAAACAAATCATAAAATACATATATTAATAATTAAAGTGTTATTTATTGCACTTTGATAATAATTAAAATAGTTTACCTGAACATAAATTTACAACTTGTCTCTGTTATCAAATAATGAAATATTGCATTTCAATAAACATTAAGATACATTATTAAAATACATTATTTAGTATTTTAATAATGTATTTTGGGACTTTCACAGGTCTCACAGGGCTGCTGATCAGATGTATTAATGTCTGTGATTACACAGTGCAGCTGCACCATCTGGTGGTTCATACAGTATCGCACTCACAGGCATGTGTGACAGATAAATGCATGAAAATAAAAAAAAAGGTTAATAAAGGTTTTATATTGAACTAATTGGATATAAACTTGATGTTTTAACTTTGTATTTTCTCTCAAATAACACTTGTCAAGTTATTTTAAAACCATTATTGGGTGTTTTTCCTAATTTTCTTCTTTGCTCTGCTGCTTTATTCTGACATTGTGACTTAATATTCTTTATTAGTCATTTCAGCTCAGCTTTTAACTTCTCTATAAAAACAACACAACAACAGCATCATTTAAGGGCAACTTTAATCAACAATACGATTGCATTTTTTCTTAAACGACACATATACAGTACATCTCACAACATTTAACAAAGAAAATGGAACTTTACTTTTCATGATATTATTGTATTATTGTATATATTAGTGTCCTCTCATCCGCACGCCAGTTTACCCCTTTCGCAGTCACACCCTGTCTTATTAAATCGCCTCTTGATTTTAGTTCAGATGTGGATATTTTCATAATGATCTCACTTCAGTCGTTTTTCAAGATATTTCAGTATTTCTTTTACTTTTTATAACTTTATAACTTTTTACTTTTACCAATTTTTACACAAACATCTGTACTTTCTGCTCCTTACATTGTCAAAACAGGCTTGTTACTTTAGTGTTAATGCATTTGAGTTGTATTATCAATTATTAATATTTTTATTTGCATCATTGTACGCCTTTCCAACATCAAGACAGTTGCATATAACACATGACAGACGTAACATGACAAATAAGACAGGAGACGGAGACACAACCCTGTTTAAAATGTCCTTCAGAGAAACCAAGACAGTACTTCTTACTTTTATACTTTTACTTGAGTAAAGAAGTTGAGTATCTGTACTTCTACTTTAGTAAAAATGTATGTACGTTTCCCACTTCTGGCTCTATTGAATGTTGCACGTTGCCTATAAAGATCTTATATATATATACTGTCAATGATGAGGATGGACTAAAATTACTCATCTGATGTAGATTTAAATTTTGATGTGGTGTCATAATTAAACTTTTGTTAAACTATGATGTTAATGTTCGTGTTTATACGTATTAGTATAAACCACATAGCCAATGAAGAAATAAAGACAATAACAGATTTGATTTCACAAATTAAAAACAAAACAAAAAACAAATAGCTAAATGTACTTTTTACATTTCCTTGTGTGTGTCATTGTCAACTGAGCTCTGTAATTCGATACGATAATAACAACTATAGACAGCAGCAGTCACATTCTGTTGTTTTACTCAAGCTGTAAAGCAACATTCATGGTGTCTAATTTCTTGTCCAGGATCCTGTGAGTCAGATTGTTTGTGGTTTACTCTCAGTCAGATTGTGAGTCCCTGTAGTGATGAAGGTTTATATATATGCAGGCAAAGTATGGATCCACATTTTTTTTACATATACTTTATAACTTTCTTATAAAGTATACAAGTATATATCAATGCTAAGTATACTTGTAGGGCCAAAAGAGAAACTTAATGGATGCACTGTTGATCTGCTCGCCGTGCTACGATTATGAACAATAATTAAGATCCTACATTTTAAAGAGCTTTGCCTCAAACAGTGATCTATATAATACTTTTTTAAATAGATTTTTAAGTGTGGCAGGTCAAATTGAACCTAATGGCAGCCCTGCTTAATAATCTTCATGTAATCAGAATTTGTATTTAATGTGATTTTGTTGGTCTTCCTGACGTTTATTCCATTTTTGGGGGAGTTCTTCCTGATCTGAATTGAGGGTCTATGGACAGAAGAATATTATAAAGATTGTAAAGACCCTGGAAATTTGTGATTTTGAGCTTTGTAAATAAAATTTGACCTGACTTGACAACGTGTTGGGTTAAACAGGAACAGAGTCAGAAGATGTTGGACTGTATCATCTATAAACTTTTCTCCATGCCAACCTACAAACTCTTCAAACTCTGTCCTTTTTACGGCTGATATTTCAGTCTGTTGACATCTAGGACAGTTTGGTTTTCTAGAAAGTTTTTTCCCTCAAACTGTTTGTTTGTAAAAGAAGCAATGTTCGTAACGAATCCTCTTTCAGGAAGTCATCATCTTACAAGGAAATGTACGGAGTGATTGGCAGCTTTGAAATCACATGTCCTTTTCTGAGTATCATCTGTCTGTTTATCTGTCTGCAGATTCTTAATATCACCAAATCTCTAAGACGTGTACATATAAAAGATTGCTTAACACTAACATGATACTGTTGATTATCCAACACGGATGCTCTCAGAAACAAACCCTTATTCCTACACGCAACTCACAATACTAGGTACACAAAAAGGTTCTTCTCAGAATTAGATTAAGATTTTCTCAGAAAAAAACCTACAAAATATATTTTCTTTATCAAATTATAGAATCCTTTTTATAATAAGGATAATAATAATAATTTTTATGAGGCAAGTGTTTGATATCACGATTCATTTATAATCTCACCGATTTAAATCTTCACATATTTGTATCACGATTTAACGATCTTGTGATTTATAATTACATTCCTACTTATTCCCATCTTTAACTTCATCAGTGAGTTCATAAAACATCTCTTTTTGTGTGTGTCACCATTCAGGGGCTCTCTTAAAATAACCTGTGTGGTAGCTCACCACCTTACGACTCCCCCCTCACTCCCCTGTCTCTCTCTCTACTGTCGGATAAAGTAAAGTGTCCAATGTGACAACATTTGGGGACTGAAGTGTTTGTGAGCACTTAAAGCTTGTAAGGTTTCTTAGCCAACATTTGTTTTATTTATTGGGTTAAACAATTAATTAATTCAGATTTTGGGCAGTCAGACAGCAGGTTTACATGCACATTAGTATCCTGGGTTTGTGATATGACATTTACATTGAACACGAGAAACCTGGTTATTAATATATCCATGTTTACGTGTGTCCAGGACTCAGATAAGGTGTTTACATGCTGCGGTATCCCACTTCCTGTCGGGGTACAGCCAGCTAATCCAGAGTCTGAAACCAGGATATGGTGTTTACATTACGCATGCACACCTGTTGCACACCTGAACCACTGTGGAGAGCTTATAACATTACATAGGAGCCTCAGCAGAAGCCTGACTTTGATATGCCCTTCAAAATAAAAGCTGCCTCGTGCGTTAGATAACATTTAACACTGTTATAAGTGCAAAGTGACCTGTGGGATGCCAAATCAATCTTGAAGTGTGATCTCATTGCCTACATGAAGGTGTGCTGTACGGACCATCTCTGCCCTGCACAGGTGGGTTTAACAGACAGGTAGCCTATAGGACAACACGAGCCACGTCTCAGCCAATCACAATCCAGAGTCCAGGTCCATTGAAACTGCAGTGGTTTTAAACAGATAACAGGTGCAAGCTGAGCTCTACACAGCTCAATGTGTCTGCAGAAATACCCCGAGACTGTATCAGCCTCTATCTGACCTATTTTACACGGTTTCCTGTCAGGTGAATCCATTCTTAGTGTATAAAAGTCGTTTTTAAACAAAGGTTTAAGATGTTTTTCTCCGCCCTGCTCATTCTTGCCAGTTGGGGTTTGTTGGGTTCAGTTTCGGGCTCTCCCGCTGTGGAGGCAGCGTACGGGGCTGTGGTCGGCGTCGTGTCTCCGGGACAGCAGCATCTGAGCGGGGAGTCCCTGCGCTCCCTCTTTAATACACTGGAGAAACGTGTGCAGTGCGGTGAAGTGTCGTGTGAAAAGGTAAGTTTTATTAGGCTTTAACCAGGTTAGAGAGCCAGGCGGCAGGTGGTGTGGAGAGAGGTCGAGGTCCAAAAGTTATTAACCAGCTACCTGCATGGGCACACTGATATAACTGGAGTTATTAATCTTTATTTCTTAATTTTGTACCAGATTTTACATGTAAAAATGCCAATTTATATTTAAAAAAAAAACATTTTCTCATATGGATATGGATTTTGCCAGCATGCAGCTAACAAACAGCCTACTGGGTTAAAAGTGGCCCAGTGTGGAGTCAATGTAGCACCAGTTCATTTAACCCAGTGCCAATGGGTAGAAAACCACCCAACAGAAGGGTTGTTTTAAACCAGTAACCCAACTGTAATATAAAAAGGTCAAAACACACCATTCATACTGGGTCAAGTTAACCTAGTTGGCTATTTGTACTATGTAGTCCTTTAATTGCATGCTGGCAAACATCTGATGATTTTTTTTTTTTTTTTTTCAGTCATCTTATTGACCCCACCCTGTGTTAATTTTTAACCCAGTGGTTTTTTTTTTGTGTGTGTGTGTGCAGGTGAATTATGAATTTTGCTATTTTTAGTCATTGTCTGAACTACTGCAGTTATAAATTAATTGCTTCCCCTGAGGTCACTGTTTCTAAAATATTCAGTGGATTGAACATCTTGTGATGTCCTGTTGAATTTAACCATAAAGTGCAGAGTATAAACTATAGTTACACAACACATGTGCAAAGGTTTGGTATGTATTATTTACATTTGACATCATTTTAGCCCCAAAAGAAGAAAAATCAAATGATTAAAACTTTAATTTGGTCATGCAAGTCACACGTTTACCCCAAATATCCATTTGATTTAGTTTGTTTTCCAGTTCAGAAACGTGTAATTGACTCTATAGATCATTATTGAACCACAACTGTGCAATTGAGCTCTGAATATTTGGGAAACTCAGTGGTTAGACTGAAGATATTTAAATTGTGCTGTTATTGAATGATTTTCCAATATAATTAAATTTTATTTGTATATCACAGAACCATCTCCGGACACTTTTCTATCTAAACCTTATAAAATTATGAACAGAGACCCAACAGTTCCCTCCATGAGCAGGCACTTGGTGACAGCGGCAAGGAAAAACATTCTTTAAAGAGGCAGAAACCTCGAGCAGACCCCGGCTCTGGTGGGCGGCCATCTGCCTCGACCGGTCGGTCTAATGATCCAGTTCCAATAGCGTTAACCCTACACTCTCCTTTTTCTATATGGACGTTTTAAGAATAGCCTGGCTAAAGTTACATGCCTGTTATTTACAGCTTGTTATAGACATTATTGACACTGAAACACTGTTACTATTTAAATTGGCAATGGTTTTGATGCCAAGCCTCCAGTTTCTTTGACCAATGACTGCTGATTTCTTATATTCTTAATTAATGTCAGTCTAGTTGAAGCCTTGCACAGCCTTTTGTTGTACAAAACATTATTGTTTTTTAAAACCCTTCATAAAACTCCCTACCATGAAGGACCATCAGTAAACAGTTATAGAGGTATGATGACAACTATTTCATTGTAAAGTCAAGCTTTCAGTCACTTTATTAGTGCAAATGTTTGAAAAAAATTTACTTTCAAAGCTTATAAAGATATCAAATTGAGTACTACTGTATTTAATATATGATAAATACACTTCATTGTCAAGTCTATAAGATTACAAAATAATGTATCTCAATAGGAGAATTAGTCATATTTTAGCATTTTGATTAGGTTAGTGTTTAATATTTGTACTTAATGACTCTTATTACACATTTGATTTATTTTTTGTTGTTCAAAGCAATAGAGTCACTGTTTTAGTGACATCTATTAATTATTAGATGTCACTAAATTAATAATTATGAAGGGCACTACTTCCAGGCAACCTGCACAAAGCCACTTTTATCAGAGAGTCCCTGACCTGACCGACATGTCAGCTGTAATCTGCCACAAAAGGATAGTGTGTGATTGATAAAGTATCTGCTGTCAAACAACAAAGGTTTTTGGCAGTGAATGTAATGGACAAAAAGTAAAGTGATGAAAACAGCTTTACTGCAGGCGATAGCTTCGATTATAACACAAGGCTTGTAATATAACTCGCCCGCAGTTAGAAGTGTTATAACAGGTAATTCAAACTAGAGCTTCAATAAAATGATAAACCTCATCTGACCCACAATGAATATCTATAATGTCATGTCAACGAGTTTATACTCTCTGTCCCCTGTGAGTTTCCTGCTCTTGAGAGTTTAAAGGGTCAAATAACAATAAATGTATTTTCTTACCTCGACCTGTATTTAGCCGCGCAGATAGTTTTGGTTTTATGTGCCACGTTCTTTGAATATAATGGACTGAATGAGAGTTATTACATTTTGTGTTGCTTAAAGCTTTGGAAAGTGACATTTCTAAGTTTTCATATGGTCTATTTTTTTGCAGCATTTCTGGAAATAGGTGTATTTTTTTTTAATTCAGCACAAGCCAAATTCCGTTCATATTTTATTGAATTCAGTGGGGAAGCAAAAGTAAATATAAAAAAAAAAAAAATCTAAAATGGTCAAATACAACTCGAAGTAAGTAAAAAAATATGTTTGTTTTTTTGTCATTCGGGTGAACTGACACTTTAAGGAAGCACAGACGTTCTCCTCAAACTAAAACCATTTTTAAAATTAACTTTTTAAATCTTTTTATTCTCCTTTTTCCTCCTCTGAGAGTTTCTGCGTCAGCATTTTATATCTTTCTTCCATTTATATTGTTGCCCACTTTCCCTCCTTCTTGATAACGTATCAAATTGCTCCTAATAAAAGCCAATAAAAGCAGCTGATTATATTATACGACAGGTTGCTTTTAATGCAGTGTGCATAATTCTTTGACAATGAAGTTAAAAACAAAACAAACAGATTTTGATTTAAAACTAAAACCTCTGCAGCAGCTGCTGATTTACAACAACTTCCATTGATCTGTATGTATGTTCCTCTCTCTCTGTGTGTGAATGCCTCGCTGTCTAGTGTGATCTGACAGATGCCGTCCACCAGCTGATCAGCAATCAGTCCGTCCACAGCGTAAAAAATCTAACCATCAGCGTGTCTCAGTTCCCGGCTCTGGCTGCCGGATGCGTCCTGTATCTTTTATCTCCCGGCCTGGTCTGCAACGCGACAAAGCAGGGGAGATGGGGAGAGGAGGTCGAACATTTCCTCCATGAACTCACGCATGGGGAACACCACGAACACCGGCACGAGGAGAGCGAGCCGCACCACGACCACGACCACATAGACATTGATGGATTAAAAGTGCTGATTCAAGAGCTTCACGACCACTATAAGCCCTCGGACATTGAGGTAGGTACATTAGAAATGTAAATTACATCAAAAGTCACAAAATGAAGAAAACAAAACATTACAAACACTTTTCTAGAAGCTTGTGCTGTCCGATACTCAAGTTTTATCTCGCTATAACTTCAGTTTAAATTGATTGGCTGGGTTAGGGTGAGTCTGTGATGAGGGGTCAATCATGCAGCAGTGTTTAATGCTGTAGAGAAAATGGAAACGATATTTAACTTTTTGGTAACCAGGGAGCCACTTTATGATCTTCCTCACTCTCGGATGTACTTTATTCATCATTGCGTTAATGGAGGGCACTTATCACTCCACATATCTTATCGTACTTGGGTGATGCCGCCTCTAGGCCTGTTAGGCTTTGCCCCGTACTCAGCCACATCACCGTAGCAACCGTCATCATGATGAAAAGTAAATTAGCTGTAGTAATCTGTTTAAATGCCTCTGTTCTGCTTTCTGTAGGCTGTAGCTGAAGAGTTAGGACACGACTCACGAAACAATGAATAATAAACCAGGATTAACAGACATAACTCAGCCACCTTCCCAAACCTAGTATTAAACGTTTTATACATATAAAAGTTATCTGCAAAAATATACAATAGTTGTATTCATTTATCTAAAAAAAAAAAACATTAATTGAATGTGAATTGAAATAAAACGAGAGCTGATCAAGATGACAGCTCAGTGACTTCTGGACAGCTTTATTGTCATCGAGTTGAGGCTGCAACGAACGATTATTTTTATTATCCATTAATCTGCAGAAAATGTCAATTTACAATCACGTTAAGACTAAAACCGGAGAAAATGACATGAAAATGAAAAACAATTACCAAAATTGTCACATTATCGAATGAGTCACTGAATAAAACTGTCTTTTGTTATGCCCATACCTGTTCCTCTACCTTATCACCATGGTAACCAGAGCTGCGTAACAGCCAGTGACATCATGACAGAAGTCAACGCGTCATCGCCAAACCAGAGACAGGAAGTGGGTGCAGTTTTTGGCCGCGTCCTGTATCACGCCTTGCAAGGTCGATGCTTCATTAGCCGGCCGCTGCCTGAGGAGAGCTTCTTCCTGGACTACATCCTGGACCGTCTGGGGTCGGAGAACTTCACTGTCCAGGGTAAACGTGGACGCTGACACATGCACGGAAAGAGCTGCAGAGAGATTCCTCACTCAGAAAACCCAAAGCCTGTAAACTTAAACCACTCGTGTTTGTATTCTGTAGATTTGGAGGCTCTCATGAGGACTCTGAGCCTCGGACCGGAGAGTCACCACGAGGACGGACATGGACACGACCACCACGAGGACGAACACGCTGCTCATGATGATAGGGGTTTGAGACGAAGGACGAGGAGCAGCCATGAACTCCATTTGGGGCATGAAAGAAACAACACCTGGGATCAGGTGCATAAATATACCAACACTTGGAAAAAAATCATAGCTATTCAATAAATCTGTCTTGAGAGCAGATTACATTTAGCTTGATGGTTGACAGTGGAGTGATGGTGATATATACATTTATTTATACATTATGTTAATATACCAAATATTGGCAGGCTATGAGTTGAAGCTTTTATAAGCCACTGATAGCATTTAAACTACTTACAGTATATGTGTGTGGGAGCAGTACTGACTAATCTCACCGTTTATCTAAAATAAAATAACATAATATGTGACAGGTGTTTTTCTAATGGGTTTCACTCATGGTACTAGCCATATGAGCTAATTATTTCCTAAATACATATAATAATAATACCTAATAATGTAATAAATCTGCACTATATAACTGTATGACTGTATAATCAGTAATATCTATCTTTTAAGTGTCTGTGGTAGCTACAGCTCTGCATGCACAACTCTGTCACTATTCACTGTGTGGGTGAGCGGGCTGTAACATTTATACAAAATCAGTTAACACTGTGTTCAAGATCTCAGCTCACCTTTATATTTATATATATATTACCCTTTTATGCTTTCAAAACATGACCTGCAGCTTTGAATAGCTAACTAAAACAGTTAGCCTCTGTTGTCTGTTACTGCTCAGACTTTATAGCTACACACACACATATATATCCTCTTCATTCAGCTGATTCAGGGCATATATGTCCAAAAATGTTAGCGTGTGTGAGAGAGAAGTCAGTCTCTTTGTGCTGCTAAAGATTTTGGAATAGCAAGATTTCCTAATTCCTTTCTAATGCCTAATGCCTCTTCATGTGTCATAATATTTGCAGACAGGAAACGAGGCACAGAGAGATAGTTGTGTGTCCAAAGATTATTACTAAAATGTTTCAGTGATACCTCATTTATCTCTATAATTCACTGATCAATAATGATAAATAACTCTTCTGAGTATTGCATTTACAGTATTTTTTTTATTTTAAAGGGCATATTATGTATTGGCACATTTTGAAATTTAAAGACATATTAGGCCTATGTGTCTTTCAACAACCTACTTGAATCTATGTAACAATTTTCCAGCAGCTCTTTCTTCCCCAAGAGTAAAACAAATTTAATCCTGGTGTTTCTCTGCCTATTAAATGAGCAAGTTTTCCTTCATCTGTACAGACAAACTATGTACCTCAGTATTAACAGACTGTGCTGAAGTCTTTGACCTTTCTTTCTCACAGCTCTGTCTCTCGGCTGAAGAGCTGGTCCTGATCTACGGTCTGGCAGGCAACAGCTCCGCCTCCTCCGGCCTGGGTCGGTCCGGCTTGGCTCAGCTCAGCCCTGCGCTCGTCCAGCAGATCCTGAGCGGAGCCTGTACGGAGGTCACAGAGCCACAGAAACCAGACGGGCTTACTAAGGCTGAGAGTAAGTGTGTGTGTGCGTGTGTGTGTGGAGACCTGAGGGTTGATAACCATCCTATAACAGTAAAACCTCACTCTAGATGCATTTTTGTACCTTTATATTGTTGGAAAAGACTATTAAACATGTCCAGCTAAAAGACGCTGTCAGTCTTTTCTTGACATCCCTCTTTTTGGCTTGGAAGCGCTCGATTATCTGTGATGTAACACATGTACAGCATGTATACACGACCTTCTCCCTTCCTCTCGTAGGATACCTCTATGCAACGCTTGCCAATTTGGTGATAACGCTGACATCCATGTTTGGCATTGTGGTGCTCCTCTGTTCGTCCTGTACCAGCGTGTTCCAGCTGTGCATCCAGTTCTGCATCAGTCTGGCTGTAGGTTCGCTGACTGGAGATGCCTTACTGCACCTGCTACCCATGGTAACATTTTTTTTACTACTTTAGAGCTGACAACTCCAGTATTCACTTAAATTTTGCAGTTACATGGTATTTTTCATAACCACAAGGCCACCAGGGATCATAGTGAAGTTGATTTTCCTGCAGGGTTATACCCATTTTGACTCTTGGTCGCGGTCCGTGTGTCCAGTTTCTAGGTTTACACGTGCACTCAGGTGACACCGGCGGCAACGACCATTCACATGACGGTTCCCAGGTAGAAGTTCCAGACTACATTTACAAGATGCTGGTGTTGATCGCCGGGATCTACTACTTTTATCTGATGGAAACAATCTTCTCTCTGATCACGTATAAAGATAATCATCACCATCATCAACATCATCATGGGGTAAGAGACAGAAAAATACCATACCAATAACAGATAAAGCAGATAAGGATATAAATATGGAGGCTTACACACCATTCTTGATTTTTCATTATATTAAAGAGTTTCTTTCTAGGAAAACTTGCTATGAATTGTTTAAAATTAGACACATAATCCAAAAGATTAACAAAGAACACCAGCATTTGTTTCCTTAAATCTGTATTTATCTGTTCTTTACTTCCTCAAATCCTTTTGTTTCTCAAGATCTTTCATTTTGCTTCAACTTTCAGGCTAAAACTTAATTATTTTCTCTCTTTAGGAAGAGTCAGAGCCTCACCACTGTGACCATGGGAGGGTTTTAGAAATGTATCAACAGGAAAGGAAACAAAAAGACAAGTCACAGTCAGGGTCAAAAGCAGATCTGGTAAGAAACAAACATACGTTAACATTTTGCCTCTTGGTATAGCACCAATAATCAGGTTTTAGACCTCTCTGTAAACAAAAGCGTCTGTTTCCTGTTAAAATGGTTGTACGCTGCCTCATTGTGTGTGAGAAACCCTCAGTTCCTTCAGCAAAGAGTTTGTAAAAACACGTTTTGTCAGGACAGGACTTGCAGTTATGTTTCATGTAACGTCTACATTTCAGGTCGGCTACGAAGACAACGAGAAATCCCTGTCAGAGCAAAAAGAACGCACCAGAGGTGAGAAAAACAACCACCGCTATCATTAAACTGGTGCTAATTACCGTGGCTACCCCGCCACTAACCACCACCGTCTGCTTCCACAGAACAGCGTCTGCTGCCTTATATGATAACCATCGGTGACGGGATCCACAACTTTGCAGACGGCTTAGCGATGGGCGCAGCTTTCTCCCTGTCATGGAAGTCTGGTCTGGCCACATCACTGGCTGTACTCTGCCACGAGCTACCGCATGAACTGGGTACACACACACACACATCACACATCACACACACTACACCACACACACACACACACACATATGTGTCCAGGCGGTAACACACTCACTCCTCCTTCCTAACTTCATCCCGTTGCTCTCGTGTCTCTCCAGGTGATTTTGCCATCTTGCTCCACAGCGGTGTGTCTGTCCGCAAGGCGTTGCTTTTAAACGTCGGCAGCGCCATGACCTCGTTCGTCGGCCTGTATGTCGCTCTGTCTGTCGCCACGGACCTCGCCACCAAACAGTGGATAGCCGCCATTACTGCGGGACTCTTCCTGTATGTGGGGCTGGCTGATATGGTGCGTTTACAGAACTAGAAGATACCTACAGTGTCTGTCGTTAAAATACTCTTTTAATCTTTCAATAATCTTCCACTTCCGTCTCCCCTCTCTCTCCTTCTAGCTCCCCACTATGGTCCACATCAGCAACAAGAGACCCTGGTTGATGTTTCTGCTGCAGAATGTCGGCCTTCTGACCGGGTGGGGTATTCTGTTGCTGCTGTCACTTTATGAGGAGAGAATCAGCTTTTAAAACCTGGACACACATCGTTCTGGGTTCATTTATGGCCATTTTCTGGTAAATGACCTCGATGAGACCCCCAGAGATGAAAAGGGAAGATGGTCCTTGTTCCCTCTAACAAAAGGGATCCTTGATCACAGATGTGGTTATTTATTTAATACTTCCTCCCTGTGAACTTTCCCGTATATTTCTAAATAGCAATAGGTTGCTGTTTAACTAATAATATTAATATTATTACACCACAAACTACAAGCAAGGGAGCTGACAGTCTGAACTGAACATAGTAATATTTTAAAAAGGTAGCATTTATTACACAACTTTTGTAGTGAGGCTATATCAGAGTTTTTAAAATAAAATAATCACTAATGTCCTCACCTCATCTTACCCTTTATAGCTACACACGCACAATCACACGCACGCACACGCACACACACATTCAGCTGACCTTTTACCGACACGTTCAAGTTATTTAATAGTAACCATCAGTAAAAGTGTGAGTTCACATTGTCTCACGTGTTGTCGTTCCTCCTTGAATTTCCTTGTAATTTACATGTATTACATGTAATACAGCTTTGTACAGAGTTATTTTTGTGCTTTTTATTAAAAGTGTCTGTTGATGAGAAACACAAAATTTGTCAGGTGGAGAAAATACAGTTTTGAGTTTATAGTATTTTGTTGAACTACAGATCTCACCACACCAATTATGATAATGGTAAATGTATAAAAATGTGTTTAATATATGTTGCTATATTTTGTATTCTGCATTTAAAAAAAATAAAAATTAAAAATTAAAACTGTATCAAAACCCATTTTGCACATATTTCTACTTTATTTAGTTTACCTAAGCAGCAGGTGAATGGAGACTTTTTTCAGTGTGTCTGGTGCATATTAATGTGGATTTTATTGTTTTATTTTTCATATACACACAATTAATTTATACCCAGCATTAGCAGCTCTTACATAAGGACACATTGGTATTTTTTGTCCATATAAATAACATTCTTGACTTTGATTTCAGAGCATTTGACTAATTAATGAACATGAAAATAGACCTTTTACGAACCTTCAAAATTGAATTTTAGCTGTCTACTGTTAGTCCTTGTATTATATCAATCTGGGATGAAAGCAGGTGCTCTTTCTATCAGTGGGTTTAACACACAGAAGAGTTATGCACAGTTTGTGCATTTAAAGATCTCATCTGTTGAGTTTGTAACCTTTGTGTGAATGAAGCCAGAGGCGCAGTGGAAACTCTGCTTTGTCTTTATCTCTCTTGTCTAATCTCCTTTGACTTACAGATTTATGTGAATGTTTTCATTAGGGACAGAGTCCGCTGACAACTCATCGTAAAGGAGGGAGACGCAGCATGTACATACACGGTATACTGTATGCGTAATCACAAGCATGACCAGTGTCTAACTTTCAGACAAAATTACCCATTTAATGACAACATCCAGGCCGTGTACTGATCCTTTAAGCATGTGCTGTAAAATAAAAGCTAAATGCAGATTACAGCATGTACCTGCTGACAGAGGAAAAAGTGGATTTCCCCAAAGTCAGCTTTCCAACAAAAGCAATCCATAATTTTGAACTTCTACCGAACATTTTCAGAGGCTTTATGAGTCCCTGGACTGTAACTTACTCTGCCAATAAAACACATGAATATTACCTCTAAAGTTGGACCTTTGAGCTTCTCATACATTATACAGCATAAAACATCTTTTACAGTAGTAGATTTTACAGGCAGAAAAGGAAGAAACTCTGGACAGCTGAATGGCTTTTACAGCTTCATAAAGAGGTTAATCAGTGTAGTGACATATGAAAATGAAAGAAACCGCAGAGGACTGAAAGAAGACACACGTTACAGTAAATGTAGCAGTGGCCAATAAGAGCTGTTTAACCTATACAGTACTGTAAAGTTCAGCTTACATTTAAATGGAGGGGTATTTTCAGTGAGCGCCTGTTATTAAGGGTGGAAAGAAGACGTCAGTGTTACTGTAAGTGTAATATTCAGCTGAGTAACAGCAGCGAGGTCAACAACCGATCATATATCAGGTGTAAATGTCTGTAACTCAGTGAGGGTGTTCTTCACAAGATAAAACTTTATTTATCCCTGAGATAAAATGAATAATAAACAGAATAATTCAAACAAATATATAAAAAATACAGATTATCAATAAACCCAATGTACACAATGTCTGATATGTAAAACTGGGCGTTAAACTGGTTAACGGTTCAAATTCAAACTACAGACACTAAAAAAAATGCACGCAGGTTTTTCTATAAAGGTTTTTAATTTGTCCAATACATTTATATCCAGTATTTACTTTATGATCAAACACCCATTGTTTACAGGAAAATCACATTTTTACATTTCTGTTTCTAAATCTGCTGCGTAGCTTTCTAGTTGAACAATAGACATTCCCCAGGAGTGGCTGCTGGCCTTTACATAACCTTTCCTAGAAAAAGGCTGACTTTATGTCCCAGTTTTTCCTTTTCCGGTTTCTCCCACGGAGCGACAGAATGTTTACTCTTAACCTGAAAGCTAATGCTACCTGTTAAACACCCTTAAAAACACAGTGAAGAAATAAGCTCAGGGTGTTATTATACGTTAGCACAGCTGCCTCATCCTAAAACATACACGTATTTGCTTTGTTGCTGAGAGTTAGATGAGAGGATGCAACTCTCAGGTCTGTGTGGTGAATATGAACCTGAAGCCAGGAGCTGGTTCAGCTCAGCATAAAGTCTGGATGTGGCTGGTGGGAGGATTTTGTTCAAAACGGACACACAAATTCCACATATCTATTTCATGAGGCAAAGACGTAGGAGTGGGATGAGTATTTTAAAAGTAGAAAAGAGTGTGCGGGAATTTATCTTTTCTACCTTTTCCCCTAAATGTTGAAACTATTCTTTTAACTGAAGCCTTTGCATCTGTTACATTACATTTTTAAACTAGAACACGGTGACTATACAGCAGTTACATTAACAGCAAGAAATATGTGTGCAGTTATTGAATAGAGCTTCATTTACACTGCTCTTTTACAGTAATACGACCCAATTAAACTCTGTTTCTCTGAATGTTTATAATTCACAGTTCACGTCAACATGTTGAAGTTGAGTAAATATGTAATAAAAAGGTGAGAAATTAGGTGAGGAAAATCACACACATGACTGAAAGGGACTAATCATTACACAGACAAGATTTTCCAGTCAGTGCAAGTCAATATTTGCATCCTTTCCTGAGTCAACAGTGGCATTGCTACAGTGGGATGGTTACTTTCAGACGAGAAATCACACTTTGTTTTTTTATTTTTACTTCCTCATATCATCATTTCTGGGTCAGGACTTTTTTGAGTCCATGTACAAACCAAACCCACTAAAAACAAGATAAGAGTTATTTTATCTATGCGACACAGATTGGAAAACTGAGGAGGTATTCCTCATATATTTTAGATATTTTAAATAAATTCCACTACAAGATCAAGCTAGAAAAATAGAAATATTTTTATTGAATTACAGTCTACATAGAAAACAAACATTTACACTGTACAAGAACAGCACAGATTAAATAGTTAAACATGATAGAATAAGTAGTCAGGCATTTGAGTGAGTGAGTGAGTGAACGGTGCACATTCGGTCACTTGAAGCGAATGATCTCCTGAGTGGCCAGTCTGATGAGCTGGTTGAAGTCAAACTGGATGTATTTCCTCCAGTAGCGTCTGTCTCTGCCGTAGGTCTGAGCAGGATAACAAGGACTGCCTGAAACACAGATTGGAAGGAAGGAAATGTAAATATGTTGATCCACAGCTTATAAACTGCACTTTGTGTCAGTCTCAGATTATTGAAACCTGTCGGTGAGACAGCTGTTGCCGATATTTTCTAGTATTTATTTTCCCAGGATGGTGAAGTCCTGACCTTACTCCCTCCTCTGACTGATAAAGGGTTTAACCTGAGCCAGGAACATCTCTAGTCTGTTGCCCCGAGTGTTTATAGCCCAAATATTTTCCCTTGATGGATCAGAACTAAAGTTAATGAGTCGGCCAACGGCAAAAAGTGTCATCCTGCTCAGATTCTGAAATCTAATTAATTAATAATTAGTGATCCTACAGATTAAAAGAGCCGTTTTACCTCACAAAAAATAAACCAGCATAAACAGTGATTTATATTATACATGTTTTTAAATACATTTTAACGTTTATTTTCACTAGAAACATCTGGTGGGCCAACTTTGTCCATCAGTCCTAATGAAGACAGGGACTTCTGACAAAATAACCCCGACTTACCCTTCCTGGTGGAGAAATCTGGCTCTAGGCTTTGGTTAGTATTATTGATTAGCTATAGATATTTCTTTACAGATTTAATTAGAACCATTACAAACTGGGCCCAACAGTAACTGGGGCTTTAACTGAGGGATTTATTTGCAAAAATGTGGAAAGTTTAATCCCCATTTTATAAACACACACATGCAACTAACAGCCAATGAGAGCACAAAGATAGAAGATGTTTGAAATAATAACAAAGCTGAGGTAAGCTGCAGGTTTACTAGATAGCCGAGACTGTGTACAGGCTTGTGAAGATACGACCACACCTGCTTAAGATAACATTACTTAACATACAGCTTGAACCAGGTGAAAGACAACAGGTGCTTTTTTTGTGTTTGAGAGAATAAATAAATCAGCCTGTGAAAGTTGTGCATTTCTCTCCCTGGCATAATAAGAAGTAATAACTTGGTAATGTTGTATGTATCTGAGCCTTAATGAGGTTAAACACTGCTGAGCTCACAATGTATTTGTTGATCCTGTAACACCCTCTAGAGGTTGAGAGTCCTTTATAGGACGACCTGCTGATTTTAAAGCTACGCGGTTTATAAAATATACATTTATATGCACTGATTGATTTAAATGTATCATAATGAATATGGTAATAGAGGCATGTGGTTGTGTTTGAATAGTCCTTCTGTTTTATTGTGGATTTCTGTATAATATGTCGTTTATGTTCTATTTAAATGTGTTGTGAAGGAGATTTTTGATCTCAATGGGACTTCCTGGTTAAATAGAGTTAAATAAAGTTGGTGTTTGTACATTGAATGAAGCAAAAAGAAATGTGCAAACAAAAATATTGTTTAGATTCATTCGTAAAAATAATTTTAACTTATTTTTAATAATAATAATAATAATAATGATTTGCACTGTGAAGGTTTCACTTTGGTCTCTGACTAATTGTTACATTTCTCACTATTTTCAGATATTTTACAAATGAAACTATATTTGATTAATGAAATAACCAAATAACTATAAACAGTAAAAAATCCTGGCTTTTATATTTAATGTATGAAGTATGATAATCTAATGACACATATCATTAATGCCGATATATAGCTGGATATCCATCTGCCAGTAGGACTGTGCTGTGTGTGATGTGTGTGTGTGTGCGTGGTGTTGTGTGTGTTTGTGTTTGTGAACTCACTGATGCCGTGCAAGATCCTAGCAACAGCTCTTCCAGAGAATTTCTCATCACTTCGGTTGCCAAGAAAACTTCTGATGTCGGCTCTGATCTGATTCTCCCAGTCTGCCAACTACAAACACACGAGTAAATAAACTACAATATCCAGACCATTTAAGACACAAATTCATCCTGACAGCCGATCCGTGCGTTCTACCTTATATTTGTCGAGCTCTTCGACGTCCAATGGTGCGAGCGCGTAGCCTCGGTCTCGCCTCTTGTCGAAGTACTCAGAGAGAAGGCTTTTCAGCCGGAGACTGCGGCTCTCGTCCAAATCATCGACACAGGACGACGCACTGCGGAACGCAACACTGCGACACAAGACACACACATGGTTACACACAGACGCAAGTAGTGTGGGCGAGTAGACGCACATATAAGGGACAGACAGTCAAATACATCCACACACAGTCCGTGTTACCATTTCAGAGTCCTTTCCTAGTTCTGACTGATTCTTTGGGACATTTTGCGGGACTCTATTGGTTTCTGCTGGATTTTTAAAATAAGTTTAGGGTGTCAAAGATGTGGAAGGAAATCAGGGTAAAAGGGTGGAGATTTACAGATTTCATAGCAACCTTTATAAAGCATTACCCATTAGATAACCTAAATTCACAATAAATCTGTAGAATTTATTCATCCTGTATTAAGTGATTGGGTTTTAAAAAGTGAATCACAAATTGAGATTTTAGTGTCATGTACTGCTGGTATTTGTTGATGTGTTCAGAGATAGATAGATACTTTATTTATCCCGAGGAGAAATTCAAGAATTCAGTTGCAACAACACAGGAAAATAATCCCATTAGAAAATATGAAAAAAAGATCTGAGCCAATCAGAATCAGTAAAAAAATAAAAATAAAAATTAGACATATAATAAGAGCTAGAGTACCTTATAGTAATAAAATAAATACACAATATGTGCTAATATATACAAAGTAAATGTAAATATGTAAATGTATGCCACAGTATGTGCAGAGGTAGGTGTGTGTGTGTGCGTGGACCTTTTGAAGGCCTTGAAGCAGGCGGTCAGCTGGTACAGTTGTGTTCTCTCTTGGTTCTGCACTCGGTTGTGGAGGAACTGACAAACTCTGTCCATCTCCTCGTCGCTGAGGTCGCCGAAGGAACGGAAGTAGAAGGATATGGAGGACAATTCAACCTGGATACCGCTTCGACCGCCGGCTGAAACACAAATAACTTGCTTGAGTGTCTTTTTTTTGTGCCAGCGTCAGTTTGTATAGTGAAGTTTTCTATAACACAGGAGTAAGAGATAAGAGAGTGTTAGAGTTTAGTTTAACTGCACCGAACATGACGTCTTTTTCCTGCTGTGTGTTTTGCTTTTGTGTCTATTTTTCCGGACGGTTTTTTTAAATTCTACAAACCAAATCTACCCGAAGGCGATGTAAATTTATTGAAGAGAGAAAAAAGGAGAAAGAAAAACAACAGAAAGCTATGTATACTTATAAAAATGTCATTAGTGCTCAGTTATTATAGTTTTGTATTTTTCATTAGTTCTTATTTTTATTTCAATTTTAATTATTTTTTTTAATTCAGTTTAGTTTAACTTAGGATCCAGAGTGGGTTTGCTCATTCACTTTAGTTTTTATTGTATAAAAATGTTTAGTTTGAGTCTGTTTTTATTAGTTTCAGTGTTCTTTTATTATATGGATCATGTATTATATGAATATATATCATATTTGTCAGAATAGGTATTACAATACAAACACATTGACTCAGTTTCAATAAACATAATGTTGTTTATTGAAATATGAATAATTTTTTTAAAAAGTTAATTAAATGTTTTCAGTTTCAGTCAATAACCTCTGTGCACACACATACCTCTACTAGTGCTCCACTGCAGCTGTCTCAGTCCTCTCTTCACAACAGGAAGCTGCCATCCCATAGTGTCCGCCACCTCGACAACATCAAACTCCAGCTGATCACACGTCTCCACTCGCTCGCCCGCCATCCGCCTTCTGGCCAACACTACAGCAACCGGAGGGCAGCTGAGGAAACGGCACATATTTGTCATTTCAAATATCTAATGACAAACACATTCATGCACACACACACACACGGTGCAGCCAGGCACATTTTATGTTCTTTTTTCAGGTTCCTAAAAGACTGACAGACATTTGATTACATTTTAGTGATTTTCTGGAGCTGTCTTGGTCCGTCGTAGCAGCTGATTTTACACACAGACAGCGTTGGGTGGAGAAGTTCAACAAAGCGCTGGGGATGCAGCTCCAGGTAGCAGAGCAGCGTTTCTACACCTGAAAAATACACAAACATGCAAATAAAGAAAGACAATTAGTTAAGTTTTAGTTCCACTTTTTATGATGTGTATCCCATTAGTGAATGTACTTAAAACTAAACATGTTATGTTCCTGCTTCAGGAGATTTGACCCATATTGTTCCAGCTATTTCTCTACAGCTGTGGTGTGTTGTGTGTGTGCGGGTGTGTTGTGTGTGTGTGTGTGTAACCTGTCACTTATCTTATCTGGTTATCAATTACATCTTATTTATATGCTTGCTGTTATTTATTCTGTCATGCCCTTGTGTGTGTTTCCACTTACCTTCCTCTGTGATGTCCAGAGCCTCGACAGTTTCTTGGATGGGAATCGCTCTCTCATGCGTGTGACACACTCGCTCTCTGGGCCAATCGCTGCTCTCCTCCTCGTGGTCCTTCAGCCAATCACCGGCTCCTTTCACCTCCACGTCCTTGTCCTTCATCAAACCATCAGCTTCCTCCTTTTCCACTGTCTGGTTCTGCTTCTCTGCTTTCTCCTCCTTTCTTTTCCTCTCCTTCATCTCTGTCCTCTCGGACAGGTACCTCTGCTGCATCAGGATGTGACGTCTCCTTGCAGCGAAAACAAAGTTACGCTAAAACTTTTATTCTTTTATTTGGTGAAAGAGTAATTTCAAGAATAGTAGTAGTTTAAATTACCTGTACAGTAGACGGTACGGGTGTGTCTGTATGTACTGCGTCCTGATGAGTGGGAGGGTTCAGGCTGCTCTCCTCATCACACACATCCATCATTTCCAGCAGCTCTGAATCTTCTATGTCCTTTACACACAGAGAGTATTTTACTTAGTGGAAAGTTCCAGTTTTTTTAACCATAGCCTGAAAGCTATTTGTTGAAACAGTATTGTCTCACTCACACACACACACACATGCAGGTAAAGTTACCTTCACAAGTTCCTGTTGTTTCTGGTGTATCTGTTTACATTTGCACGGAGGGAAAACCTTCTGCACCAGTTTCTTTACTGTGTAGTAGTCGACTGTGTCCGCATAGATATGACGGCGGAGCTCGTGGAGGTCGCCACCCTGCACACAAACACACAAATTCTTATACTTAAAATATACTGTGAGGGTAAAAGCCCCAAGAAAAGACAACCAACAGTCGAGAATACTGTTGTGAACAGATATGATTTTTCATCTGTTATCTGTATATTAATAGATTCACTAAACTAGGATTTTGAACAATGTGTAAAAGAGGTTTGAAGCCAAAAAATACCTTGAAAATATCTTCCCTGACTAAATATGACCACACTTAAAAAAGACAAAAAACGGTTGATAGAAAACATATTTTACTGATTTAATTGTGACACATTCAGGCATCAACAGAGGGAAAAAAGATAGAATTCACTGTAAAGAACAAACTGTAGATACAAACCTTTGTGAAATACAGCTCACATAATATAAAGACTTACACCAAATACACTTTTTAAAACCCCAATCAATTTGTATTTACTTATACTTATTTTACTGTTTAACAAAGTTTTATCATGCATGTTTTAACTGCAAAACAACTAAATCCAGTGTTTCATGATGTCAGTGAGCCAACTTAGTTACAGTCTTACCTCAGGGTCCAGAAAGAGGTGACAGTGTGCTGGTTCTCCATCTCTTCCTGCTCTCCCAATCTCCTGAACGTAGCTCTCAAAGCTCTGGAAAAACATTTACAAGTAATGGAATACTGATAATGATAAGTTATGATAAGATAGTTTTACACAAAATGTTGCTTTGAGTTGTGATATCTGGGTTTAAGATCAAGTCATCAAAGATCTTTTGAGTATATTCACATAATAATCTATAAAAAATTGAACAGTCATTCAAGACCTTTTGTTTTGGTTAAAATGAGACCACCACCCACCTTTGGCATGTTGTAGTGGATGATACCACGGACGTCAGACTTATCGAGGCCCATGCCAAACGCCACAGTGGCCACTACGATTCTAAGTTCCCCACACATGAAGTTGTTCTGAACGCGACGGCGCTCTGATGCCGACAAGCCAGCCGTGGTACAGACTCCGCCTGCCAATTTCCAGAGGTTTACGAATCTTCCTTCCTTAGCTAAATGTTTAAAAGATAAAGGTATTATGAAAACAAAAGAACATCGAGAGAGACGTAAAAGTATTCAAATTAGAGGAAAAGCCATTTGTGGATCTAATACAACCATCTGGCACATTCTGATGTTTCTCTTAATTAAAATCATAAACAATCAAAACATGAATTATCCACTCTTACCCAGCTCGTTCTTTCTCTGCCCTACAGGTATGCTTTGTGCCTGTACTGGCTGTTGGCTGTGTTGTTTTCTTTCACCAGCACTCCACTGCCAGGCAGGTCCTGGAGTAGCGCCGCCACAACGAACTGTCTCCTCTTCCTGTGCAGTACACAATGACGGAGTCACAGACAAACCAAGAAACGATCCCCCTTTCAGGAAAGATACTGAAAGGCCCTAAAGACAAAAAGTTGACGATACAGTAAAGGGCAAGACGTACAACCATACATTTGAGAAAACTGCTGTAAATATTGCAGTTAAATACACCTAAAACTCTTTATTCTACTGAGGTAAGGTCAATGTTGCTTCATCTGGTCAGAGATACACTGAAACTCATCCCACCTGATCCTTTTCTCTATCCATGGACACAGACAGAAACAGATTAGAAGGCACTGCTGCAGATCGGACTGCGATGCCGTCCTGATCAGTGATGTCAAGATGTCGTGCGATGTCCAGAGCAGTGGACAGCGTGGCTGTAGCCGTGAGTCCCAGCAGGCACTGCACTCCCAGACGCTCCCTTAGTACCTGCAAACAGCAAATACATCACACGTTTATTAAGTTATTTTTCCAAGACAGATGGGTCAACTACAGTTAAGCAACACACACACACACACACACAGACACCGTCATTAACCCACCTTACAGAGTCTTAGGTAACAGGGTCTAAAGTTGTGTGACCACTCTGAGACACAATGAGCTTCGTCTATACAGGCGAAGGCCACAGGCGGGAGCTCCTGAGCCGAGGGCAGACACCCTGAACCTGAACCGCCTCCACCGACTAGAGCTTCTGGAGAGAGGAGCAACACACACACCTGGCCTGACTTCACCTGGAGAAACAGAGGAGGGAGGTCACACACTATGGGCTGAAAATACTACTGAATATATGATTAAATGAGGAAAAGTCTGGCGTTTGATTCTGGATTTGAAATTTGTGATAACATTTTACTCTTTGAGAGACGCAGGAAGATATTGGTTGTTGTTGTTATTGTTTCCTCCAACTCTTTACGGTAGAGACTCCTATTGTGTCTGTTACCTTTTCTACCGCAGCTTCTCTCTGTTTCATCGTCATGTTGGAGTGGATACAGGCTGCCTTCAGATTGGCTGGCAGGCCAGACAGCTACACACACATACACACAAACAAGACATACACAACGAAATGTGTTATAACTGTGTCACTGTTCAAAGAGAGATGGTGTATTTGCTCTGTAACCTTCAATTATGACTAGAAATGACAAAATGTCTGATTTCTGTATGTATTCTTTTTGCTTGTTTGTGTGTGTGTGAGATTACCTGGTCATCCATTAGTGAGACTAGAGGTGAAATGACCAAAGTGATGGATTTTGATCGCTGAGCATACAGGTAGGCAGGGAGCTGATAGCACAATGATTTACCCATCCCTGTTGACAACACTACGAGGGTAGAGAGACCTAAAGAAAAAATGAGAGAGCGCCAGACAAACATGAATACAGATTACAGGTGTACAGATGTGTGTCTGTTTTATTACATGTGTGGACTGTACATACCTGACAGGATCCTCATGATGGCTTCCTCTTGTCCTGGTCTAAATGACTGATAGCCAAGGTCCTTTAGAGCTGCATACACCTCGGCAGGTGTTTCTAAACAGACAAAACGTTTGAATAAATGTACAGTGCGTCTATGTGTTTAATCCTTTGACTTATTATACAGGGTTTCAATGTAAGGAACACAGTAAGTGTTTACCTTGGACTTTCCCACCATCTTTGAGATCATAAAGTGGTTGCATTGGTGGAGGAGGAGCAGGACGCTCGTAGTCGGGACGAATCACATTCAGCAACACTTCGTCTTTATGGTTACTGTCCACCTCCTTTTCCTGGTGCGGCTGCTCCTCATTAATACTGGGAGACGCCACTGGAACACACACACGACCAACAAACTACTTGTAAAATACTTGTAATAATGCAACAAGTTCTCTCAAACACTGTGCTCTGATTTGCAAAGCAGCAAAATTACAAGACTTTATGAAAAAAAGCAATTTAGGAAAAATAATCTTGTATTTCCAAGACAATAAAGTGATTAAAATGGACTTAATTAATGAATACATGTATGATTTATAATAGTAAAAGTGAATCCTCCATGTGCTCCTTGTCTAAACCTCCACTGTTAACTGTAACATGAAATGTAATAAATTAAATTGGCCATATTAAGACAAAATACAATTTGATAACCAGCCAAACTCACCGACCGACAACTTTCTTTTCCTGTTGATGCAAATCTACAACATTGTTGGGTTGATTAAAGTTAAATTAGATAAGTTGTTGTCACTAACTCTTGGGAGGCTGCACACATCAGACAAACCTGAAAACCTACATTATTTCATTTATACACAGGAAATGTGTAAAGCAGTGTGCTCTAAACACACAATAAGTTCAACCGTCGTACCCAGCGGCTGAGGTCGCAGTGTCCCTGTCGCCCTGGCAACCTCCTCCAGCGTGGGCAGCTCAAACGGCTCCTCTTCAGCGGGCGGGTCCTCAGCAACGGGAGGAGGAGGAGGTGCTGCAAAAGTTATTATTTGTCTATCAATAGAAACATTTCAGAGGTGATATTTATATATTTATTCTCCCCCAAGCATGAATCTATCATTACTAGTACGGTCCTGATGTGTTCAAGCAAACAGCTTTAAACTTGTCACAGGAATTTAAATCATATGACACCACATGAGATGAATAACTTTAGACAATTTTAAAGTTTAAAGAGAATTTGCACCGCTTTGTTCTACCTGGTCCCTTGCACTCGAGGGCCCAGTGTCCGGTCCCTCCGCACTTGTAGCAGGTGTCACCCTGTCGATTGAACCCTCCTCTGAATCCACCTCTGAATCCACCGCCCCTTCCTCTGCCAAAATATCCACCACCTCCACCGAAACGCTCGCCTTTCAGCTGGAACTTCTGCATGTACAACTACAAACACACACACACACACAGTAAAAAAAAACATTTTTGTAATACAGGAATTTATATCACAGCAGTCTAACAAGGCGTGTGAGACTGGATGTAGTTCAGATTTCTGGGACAAAGGCACATAAATATATCACAAATACACTAGTGTCTTATTTTCAATTATCAGTGAACAAAGCTGACAACCGAGTTTGTTTTATAATTTAGTTCCGTTTTACTTTTTTTTTTTGATTATAAGACATATTCTACACTAGAGATCAGTCCTAGACACACACACTGCAAACACACAAATAAAACGTACCTGTTTGCGTAGACCAGCCCCTCTGAGTGCGTATCCTTTCACATGAGATTTCTTCTTCAGATTTATCTTCACAAAGTTACCCTCAGGGCCTTTCACGTTCCTGTACAAATAAAGATTGTTTCTTTTTGTACACCGACTACAAAAAGAGATGTTTCAACAAACATTATGTGTACAGGTACAGCACACGTGTACGGCCTTACCTGGGTCTGACCGGCTGAGAGTAATACTTTCTCCTGGCTCCAAATTCCTCCTCTATTTCTCCTAACAAGTTCTCCTGAGGAACCTTAACAGGAAAAATACTGCATTTAACTCTTTTGTAGAACAATACAAACACAGTTGTGCTGAGATGAGTTCAAACTTAACTACACTTACCTTTTTTGGTGCCTTAGTTTCTGTCTCTTTTTCAGCCTCTTCATCTTCCTCTCCTTTTTTCTTGGCTCTCCTTTTCTTCCCTCCTTCTTGAGCTGGGCTGGGGTTTACATCAGAGCTCTCCTCTTTCTTTTTTGCATTCTTACGCCTCTTCTTCACTCCTCCCTCCTCTGTCGTCTCTCCCTCCACGTCCTCTCCCTCTCTCTGCCTTTTCCTCCCTTTCTTCTTTGTACCTTTGGATTTCTGACCGGTTTCGCTCTCGTCTTCCGGCGTTGGAGGCGGCGTCAGTCGTCTTTCCATCTCGTCACCTTTCTTCTTTTTTATTTTTTCTTCCCCTCCTGTACTTTTTTTCCCAGTGTGTTGTAGAACAGGTTTCGCTGCGCTACTGCTGTCTATTTTGTCACTACTAACGCTCTTAAGCTCTTCATCTCTTCCCGAGTCTGCCTCTCTTTTTTCTCCCTCTCCATCCACTTCTTGTTTTCGAACTTTTTCATCTCCTTGTATTTTTCCTTCCTTTTCTTTCTCAGCTCTTTTCTCCAGATCTATCTGCTGGTTGCCGGCTGCAGGCTTCACCTCCGTCCCCATCTCTCCAAACACCTGACACCTCTCCAGCCACTTCTCATCAACAAAACTCAGCCTGCTGGCAGGAGAGGGTCTTCCTGTCATTCCTCCTCTGACGCCTCCAACACACTGCGGGCTTCCTCTCAACCCAATCAAAGCTCCAGCACCAATACCCTTATGTGGAGTTCCTAAAGTTTCAACATTTTCTTTTTTGCCTCCTGAAGCTCCCACACTTTCATTTAACTTTCCGACATCTCCTCTCAAAGGTCCTACTCTACCTGGAGAAAGTATTGACGACATCAGGGCAGAAGATCTGGCTGGAGAGGGAGCCACGCTAAAGGCATTTGGCTTCTGTGATCTAATAATTTTACTCGAGCTACTAGAATTTGCAGGTTCTTCATGAGACTCTCTGACAGGTTCAAATGGTTCAAACTGATCTTCAGGCTCCACTGCATTGAGTTTTGGTGAAGACAGGGACCCCAGGCAAGTCTTTACTCTTCTGTGAAAAGGGACACGATCACAGAAAACATTTAGGAGCCATTACTGGCTACCTGGCATGGAAACACGTGTGATATAGAGGTGCAATATTCAGCAAAATAACTGCTATATAATTATCAGTAAATAGTGCAATTATAATATGCAGCTAATCTACTCCTTCCATGTGATTACCTCGGTGAGAAAGGGTTTGATTCGGGGTCAGTGGAAGTGGTCTTGGCAGTGGCAGCAACGGGACTGTTTGTCTGTCCATCTTTTAAGGAGTTTAGAGGCACCCGACCAGGAAGGAGCGGTTTCTTCAGTGAGACAGGTCTGTCCTAGAATAACAGAAGGGAATCACAGCTTCAGCACCAAAACCAACCAACAAGAAATCATTGTTATTGTAACCAGTTGGTCGCTTTATTCTCAGACAACCAGGAAGTCTGTCATTTACTATAATGTGCTGTAGAGTGTGCCTCACCTTAGTGAGTGTCCCCATGTTGTTTTTAAGCTTTAGGCCATAGTATTGGGCAGAGGCCTTGAGACTGTCTCTGTCCTGCGGTGTCAGTTTGGGAGAAGACACAGGCTGAGAACTGCGGTTCAGATGAGACCCCCAACAGTCGGACTCCTGTGTAGATCAACAACAGGCAGATAATCATATCAAAACTCCTCGCCTCACTTGTCAATGTTGGTTTGTTTTCTACATAAATCTACTATGAATCTACTCTTCAGTACCTTCTGGGGTGTGTTGACCTCGGCTGTAGGTCTCGACTGCTCAACATGTCCGCTGGCTGCATCACTGCCGCCGTTTTCTTTGGCTTGTTTCAAACTTCTGTATTCTTTATACAGCTCTGGAATAAAGACAACCAATGTGATATTCTCCTTCCTCTGGACAGGTTATTTAAGTAGATTTATTCAAGTCCTGTACTTGTAACCTACTTTACTTCATTATTTGCATTTTATCCTACTTTATACTTCTACTCTTCTCCAAGAGGGAAATTTACTTTTTACTGCACAAAACTTATTTGACAGCTCTAGTCTAACTGTTCAAGGCTCAAAGAGGAAAAACTACCAAAAAACGGCAAGAATTACAAGAAAAGTCCAAAAAATAAACTATTAATTTGTGTAGCAGGTTTGTTTTTGCTTCCTTCCTCTCCCATTAATCATCTCACAACCCCTCAGATTTATTGTGTGACCCTTTGTAGAGGCCTGACTTCTAGTTTAGAGCAATACTTTATATAAAGTAGTTAAAATGAACTAAATACTGCCTACACATTGATGCATTAATAATCTAATAAATCACAGTCACAATGAAATATGCTTCAATCTCTGGACAGATTATTAATGCTAGAGGTGGACTAGATATAAGGGACAAACTATATATATATAATATGTATAATATATATAATATCTGGGTTGCAGGTTGTGGATTATACTCACTCCTGGTTTCCTCTGGAGCCTCATCAATGTCCTCCTGGAAATTAAAGATTATAATATTAAACTATATGGAAACAAACAACCAACAACACACACGAAGATGAACACGAACTATCCTGTTACTGTAAACCAAAACGATTAGCTTTACTTTACCTTGTTCGGTTTCTTCTGGTGCTGTTTGACAAACCCTTGTTCCCAGTTCTTCAGCAGAAGCTTCACCTCGTTGTATCGATCCATCATGAAGGTAAACCGAAGGATCAATACGTTACAAACGCATCATTGTTGTTAGTATTTCTCAGTATTTGGCAGCTAAAGCGTCATTTCTTCATTAACCGTGAGTTAATTATTCTCTCTGATATACTCTAATACAAGTCACAGCTACTTAAGCAGACGAAAAGGTTACGTGTGTGGTGGAAACTATCATATTAAATTAAATTAAAGAGTTTTTTCTTCCTGTTCGTGTTGTTTACGATTTTCCCGCGCCGGATAATGACAGCTTGTGTTGCCAGGTTACCTTCCTGTATCCCCCGATCTCACAAAACGAGAGATTTCTGTTGTTTTACACGGACTTAATGTACGTACGTGAAAACTTTATGAGTGATGAGAAACATAAAGACGATAGAGATTAATGCAGTAGTCTGGGTAATAGTTGTGTAGGTTTTTAATTTTGCTAATCTAACGTTTAGATATAAAAGAGGGTTGACGCCTGCCTGGCAACCATTTCCTCCACAGTCCGCCTCTTTCTTAAAGAGACAGGAGCCTCAGAAATGTCCCAAACTCTCAGTTCAACTATTCTCCTTTTCCCTCAGTGTGAATATTACTAAAGTATTTAATACTTGTGGGTTGTTTGAATGGAGGTATAATATTTGACAGAACATCAGGTCTTTAACTTATAACCATATTACATATTACAACTGTATTAATGTGATTTAAAAGATATACTGTGGTGGAAAATAACATTTAGTCAATAACTGTACTCTATCTACTTAATCTACTTTACTTTCCATTTTATCTTACTTTATACTTCTACTCTTCTACACATTGATACAATACCCAATGATGCATCAGTATTAACAATCTAATAATGTCAGATATATGATCAGTCACAGGGGAAAGAGTACTTTTACTTTTAATATTTCTTGCTGAAGATATTCTTCTACTTGAGTAAGATTATGAAAGTGAGACTTTACTTGTATTTTTACTTTAGTAAAAGGATTTAAATGAGTAAAATGAGTATCAGTAAAAAGTGTCAGTTCTTCTGATGTTTTTAAATTTAAAAGACAGTAAATATAAAAATACACAATAATCATTATAGGTTTTATAGTAACTGGAGTTTAGTTTTATGCACAGGGACTGGTTGTACTGGTTGTTTTATGCAAGACTCCTGTTAACTGATATAGAGCAATAAAGACTGTAATCACAGATATTTATATCAGCTTATTGTCACTGAGGCCTTGACAAGATTTAATACCTGCTGAATCACTCTTCACTGGATACAATAACCAGACTAACAGACAATAAACTGCTAAAGTTATTTTCTAAATCAGGGACATTATTAAAAGTGGAGCCACAGTAAATTCTATCAAGGCATTAATGAAACAGTAAAACATACGGTAACAAAGAAAAACACTTTTATTGTGAGGAGGCAGTGTGTATAAAACTGTTAACTGTAGAGGATAAATCATACCACAAAGGCTCTGATAGTGAGGATGGACATATTTTACACTTTTCATAATAAGACATCACTTTATTCCAGCTGGGAAACCTCGTGGAAGTACGCGCCGAGCATCTTGATCCCCTGAATGTAGTTGGTTCTGAAAAGGGAAAGATAAAACAGTGATGGGCTTGTTAAAAATAGATTATTCATTAGGAATTTAAGTTTTCAACATAACTTTTGGGTGGAAAACTTAATAAATTCAACATAACAGAAAATGTGGAGGTGAAAACTATACTTAACAGCCTTAAACAACCTTTTCTTTGGCCTTAATAATAGTTTCTTTCCCTCAATATCAAATCCAAATGTGTCCATAGTGATGGTTGTTTTAGTTACAAACTTTTCAACTTCAGTGGAAATAAGGGGATGAAGTTGAAGCACTGTGACGTACCTGTTGATCTTTTCATTCTGGGAGTGAGCTCCATCGTCGGAGGATCCCACCGGCAGCAGCATGACGTTGCGTCCCGTGGCCTCCTGGAAGGTCAGGGTGACGGGGATGCTCCCGCCCTCACGGGTCAGGTCGGGCTCAACACCAAAGACTAGACGAGAAAATGTGAAGGACAGTCAATAAAACTCTTTAGGTAATGGATGAGAATGATCAGTAAGGAAGTAAAGAAACAAAACAGTTTTAGTTTTACACAAATTATAAAAACATTTTAACTATTTGTGGTATCTAGACCTCAGTTTGTTTGTGTTTTGAAGGTTTATCGAAACAAATGAGAACTATTTTCTACCTATGAAACTGCTGATAGTAATTAGAGTAACCAGGACATTGTTTCTCGAAATACTAACTACTTTTGTCTTTTAAATGTTCTTTGAGCACTAAAAACAAATTTCTTTTAGCCTCCATTGTAGAATCATAGAAACCTCAACAGTGACTATTTAAGAAAGTTTATTTTGAGTGACCTGCTCCTTTAATCATATATGTTTCTATCAGCCTTTGCGTCACTCAGCCTCTGTACCTGTCTTCATGGCCTTGCGACCAGCCATGTAGTGTGGGTGGTTGAAGTCAGAGACCCAGGCTTTGGCTCCGTGGCCCATGTTCACTTTCATTTTGTTGGGGCTTCCCAGTTCAGCAAACTTCTTCTCCAGGTGACTCACAACCTTGATAAAGAAAAAGAAAAATATGAGCGAAATCAAAGTTTGTGAGGACAACTGGGAGATATTTTGACATCAAAAACTGAGACTTTTCTGTCAGCGGAGATCAATGACAGCTGGTATTGATGAGAGGCAGCAGAGGTCTGGTCCCAGGCTGGAGTTGATTAAGATTTTAAGAAGCTTACACTGCTGTGTTTAATGTGACCCTCACTGTCCACCGTACCCATCATGAAATTGAATCAAAGCAGCTATCATGGTGCTTTCTACACAATGTCTATCTGTGTATTTGCTATCATCAGTGTTATGTGTTATTAGAGATGTGCCAACGCAGTCCAAGAAGAAAGAAAAACAAGAAAGCAAAGAGAGAAGTCACAGAGGTTTGTGTTTTTGCGACGCAGATCTTTGTTAGAATATTAAGCTCAAAAAGTAAAAAAAAAAAATTATCTTTAGTCAAGTAATTAATATTTTTCCATAATGTACCTGGATTTAAATCTGTTAACCCACATTAGAATTCATTAGTGAACATGAATCATTTTATGTATTCAATCAGAAGGCCAACAATAGAGAGTTGGCTGTACAATTAATTAAATCAAATCCAAAGTGGCATAATGTGAAAATATTAATATAATAATATTAATATAACAGGATGTGTTTGTTTATTATATATTGGTTTGATGTCTAGCTTTGTGTCTAATATTATTCAATTGCGATGTGTGATTTTGGTTTTGTATTTCAATAATTATGATAATGTTTCTTGTACCCACTGGATTCATTTTCTTTCTAATTTTAATGTGCTTCCCAACTTTTTTTAGTATTCCTCTTTTCTGCTTTTGACCAGGTTGATATAGACAACAACTGTTATTATTTCAAACATTATTTTAAGAATTATCAGTACCAGTAGTACAGCCAAGAGGATCTTCTACAACTCATTGACACCATTTGTCTTTGCAATGACAGGAAAACCCAATTTTTAACTGATTTATTGTCAAGAATAGATTCACTTCAGAAGGTCAGTTCAGTATCTTAGCAGCTTTATGAGCCAATTTTTCACCATATGAACTTTAGGCTGCTCTGTAAATCTTATTTACCGTTTACTAGATTTTGGTGCAGAAGCAATATTCTTTCTTGTTGTAACACTGACACTGTTGTGGTCAGATTAGAACTACCAGATGAAAGCATTAGACTCAGTGTTGGATACAATCAGTGTCAAGATATTTCAGGGTCTAACCTGCTTCTCCACCACTTTGGGGTCCATGTCAGGGACGAGGCGGATGGAGAACTTGCCGATGACCTTGCGGGGGATAACGGTCTTGGCTCCTGCTTCAGAGAAAGCTCCCTCGATACCATGAAGGGAAAGAGACGGATACCTCCAGCGGTGCATTAGGATTTGCTCCTACAGGTAAAAAAAAAAGAAAAACTTAAATTCGGATGAATTACAATGGCTGAGCGATTTATCAGATGTTATTTTCAATTTACTTTGGCTTATTTTGGCTTCTGACGATTAAGGGCAAAGATTTCACACT